ATATATAACACTATTTAACGCACTAATTTTTATGTTTTTATAGCAGTTTATTTTTCTTCTCAGAAATTTGAAGTTTGAAGTTGAATATATTCTCAGGCTTGCGTTGTTGAAAATGAAAATGCCGAAGATCCAACCATGGAAAATGTTACCTTTCTATATACTTTGGCTGATGGAATATGTCCAAAATCTTATGGATTTTTTGCTGCAAAAATTTCTGGACTCAGGAAAGAGGTAATTGAAGTTTTTTTAATTATATGATCGAGATTTTATTTTTGCTAAATTTCTGATAAAAACGATAATAATTCATGCTTGAGTATGGATCATTTAAAGATAAGTTTCAGGTTATTCGAGCTGCATTTGCTGCTTCACGGCGTCTTGATGAGGGAAAAACACGAAAGGAACGTGTGGCAAAATTGCGGCGACTTGCACTAAATGAGGAATGTAGCATAGCACAACTTAGGGAAGTAATTAATTCAATGTTGATTTCATCATGAAAATTTTTTGAAAAACGACTGTTTTCTCTGCCTAATTTTCGGAACTGTGCTCATTTGATTATTCTGTTAGTGTTCATTGGTGTTTTGATGATTGCTGAAATAGAATGTTATGTTATCGCCATCTTTTTCTTCGGTTTTTTAGCAACTTGAATGCATATAACTTGTTTAATATATGAAACATTCCAGAGCGCATGACATATTATAATACATTATTAACAAATGATTTAGTAAAGCTGTGCATTAAAGGATTCTCTAATCATACTGTGCTGGGCATTGGCTAGTGGCAACGAAATTACATCGAGTTGATTTTCAATAGGCCTTTTGAAAGAGAAGCGCTATATCAGTAACTTTAACCTCCGTCTATATTGTTCGCTGTAAGATAGTTTGTGGTTTAGATCTCGTTTCGCCAGTAAAGTGGGTTTATTTCTAAACTTTTGGAATGTATACTTAGTCATTACTCATTTACAACCTTTCCTATATCAAACTGTATTGCTTACTTTGTATTTAGCATTATGGAATTCATATTTCACGGGAAGAGTCAAATTACACGTGCTTCAATCTTAATTGATTGCTTATAGAAATCATTGACAGGTTCTCAATTATTTTTTGATTATGAATATACTGCATATTCTTGCTGTAAGTAGCATCGAAATTTATCTACTAATTGATAAGATGTTGAATATTTTGATATGACAGTTATGTGCTTCGTAATTTCACGATTTCTTGGATACTTCATCACTTTTTTTGTATTTTCGGCATTTACTCTTAATTAAACTTGATATCTTTTTAGAATTCTTTTTTTGCTTAAATGAGATCTCTTTTTATTGTCTCTATCTAAGTAAAATTTTTATTGGTAATATTCGTCCTACCTCTGTAGAGAGAATTGAAACTTGTACTTCATACAAATTTTTAACCCCTTTGTAAGTCCGTGTGAAATCATGTTATATAAAGGTTCAGTTTTCTTTGTTTTCTTTTGTACTTTTTGCTTCATTACATCCATGCAGTCAATACTTCAAAAATCAGTGCTTCGGGAAATTCGGATTTAAAGTAATAAAAAAACTGATCATGGATGAAATTTTAAACTTCAAAGTATACGGAAATCGCAGTGACGAAGACGACGACATGAATTACACTGGCACATTGCTCGGTAAAAGTTTTTCTTTTTGGGAAAAAAATGGTTCTATAATGCTGCCAGGAGATATTAATGTACAGTGGAAAGATTATCGAGAAATTGTCCAAGTAAGATATTCTAGTGACTTTTAAAAAAAAATGATTAGATTCAAATCAAGTCATGGAAGTTTTAGGGGTGCTTGCTATTATTTCATCATTTAATTTATGTCGTCAACTTTATCAATAATAGTATTGTTAACTAGCTTCGATGTATGAATTATTTTTACTACTTTGATAAACTTTTAGCCGGACAAAGCAAGTTTCTGGGTGATGCTAGGAAGCTTGTTATTATTTATTGTGTGGATTATTTTCATAACATACTATATGTCTCGAGTTATTGGTCCAATCGTTGCATTTGTGCTTACACGAATTGCTCATCTGAAAGGATATGATTTACAAATATCGATAGGTGAATTTCATTTTAGCTTTTATACTTTAGTTAGTTTACTATTCCTACTTAATAAATTGCATTTTTTCTGTTCTTCATAAGTATCTCCTTTTAAAAGTTTATAATTTCCATTTGCAATAATATTTCGGAAATTTTCATTCGGAGCTGCAAACATTTGAGAAGATATTTTTAGGCAAAGAAATGGATATATATACGGTTATAACTTGGCTATCTTAATTTTCTATTAGTAACGTGGAAATTTATGGTGCATAGTGTAATAAAAAATTTTTGAGACGCTCATTCTTGAAAAAAATGTATTAAAATGTGAAGTGAAGTATATACTTCTAGTTGCATAACTTTTAGCAAAATAGTGATCACATCTTTATTCCCATTAACATTTTTTTTTTTGAAATGAACACAGTTTATGATCAAGTTTAATTACAGTGTTGTTTATTAAGATCCGTTTTACTTCTTTTTGCATCTGCATAATAGATTTTTTCATTCAGTGATATGAAGCATGTTTTCTATTATTTTTAAGTGTAATTATAGTTGCCGCATGTATGTTACTTGTTTGCAAGCAAAAACTATTCTTTCAGGTTCATTTTCCATAAGTTTCCTTTCCGGTAAAATAATGTTTCGTGATTTTCGATGTATGTGCCAGAATTTCTTACTTTGTTGTAACGACGGATGGATTATCTTTTCGTATTGGAATTACATTCCATCAGATTATGCACATAAAAGGTTTGATAGGAATGAACTTCAATGAAATGATATCTAAAGGAGGGATGTTACGGTTATCCAAGAAATAAATTTTAAAATTGGATTTGAATAGTATGATGAAATTTTTAGTAATATTTCGAGATTGCACATATCATTGAATGGCCTACAGCTGCATATATATAATCGTTTATCAAATTATCGGTCTTTGGCAAGATATTTTGGCCTTGAAAAATTGTTTCTTCCCATGAAGGATGAAAATGACAAAGTGCGACGGTTTACAAGTAAGTGAATAAATAGATTTTTGGTTTTATTCGTATTATCGTGAAATGCATATTGAGTGGGCAGGACCATATACATATTTAAACGTAACCTTGAGCCAATTAAATTGTTTTGAATTTTTTATCGTGTTTTCATGTATTTTTTTGTTTTTGCTGTTTTAGCAGAAGAAGAACAGGAATGGGACAAGTGTTACGACAATTTGTGGTCTTTAATTGGATATATTAAATTAGACATCAGTTCGGGACGTCTAGTTGCTGGAAATGCGCTTTTGCCGTCAATGATTGTTTCATCTTTTGAAAATTATACGTGTTAGTTAATTTAATAAATTTTTGCAAGAAGAAGCGACAAACTATAACGGAATATATTTTTCGATCTTCTGCAATTTAACAGAAGATAGGATTTTTTCCAGAACACAAAATTTGTTGAAATCATAAAACATTCTTTTTTGTATAAGTACGATGATTTAGGAATATTTGACAATTAATATGAAAGAAATGCGTAAAATGTATCCTAAATATATCCTTATAAGCATATCTAAAGCATCCGTTTAATGTCTAAATTTCTTATGCCATGAGTTTGTTTTTTTCTTTAGCGGAAATTTCACTCAAGGAATATGGCAAAGGTGATGACGTGGCGTTACTTAGCATTATTGGTGGCGCAGAAAATGTTCGTGTCACACTGGTGCAGTGTAGTCAATTTTCGGAAAAAAAATCACCAAATTGTAAAAGTCGATGTGATCCACCACCCCGAACAATGGGTGATGGTTTCGCGATTGTTCAAACGGCGCATCTCAATTTCTTTTATAGTCAATCTATTCTGGGTGGGTTTTGATTTCTTTTGTAGCCATTCCATTATCAGATAAAGTTTATAATTTTTTTGCGATTTCACTCGAAACATTTGCTATTATCACTTCAAGTTTTTATTATATGTAAAAAATATTGCTATGGCATAATTCATCATAGGCTTCTAATCATGAATTTGCAATTTCATTTTCTGTCCAACGTTACCATTCATCTTTGAACTTTTAACGATAATTAAATTGCAATTGATTGAATTGAAATTCATATGCTTTTTGATACTTTTCTTCGCAGCCATTCCTATCAAACATTTTCATTTACTACTGCATTTTAAGGCGTTGTGAAGGAAGGTCAACAATCAATGACTGAGGATCTTCCCATTTGGGAATCTGTATGGCGATTCGATAAAAACACTGTTTTTTCTTATGGTCCATGGGCTGACGCGCAGCGTGTTCTTCTATATGATTTTTTCTTCCCACCGGAATATCGTAATTTGGAAGTAACGTAAGCTATTATTATTTACGTCATCACTCTATATTTTCATCATTTTTATGCTCTAAAAATTTACGAAATTTTATTTCATAATTTCAATTCGTCATCCTTTTAAATAATCAGGTCTTTTTTGCTAGAAATAATGACCCTTAGTAGTAAATTTTGTATTTCAGAGCAATGCCGAAGGAAGGTGAACGACGAATTTTGTTATCGCATGATATAAGAATTTCACTCTGGAATGACGCAGCGATTGACATTTGCTTTATGAGAGGGGACGAACTGAATGCTCTGCATTTGCTAGTTAAACAGGGCTCATCTGTTGATGTAATTGTTTTAGCATTTTAATCTCTAAGTATGTGACAATTTAAAAAGTAAAAGAATTTGGTTATAAAAAGTATAGGAATCTTATATAGTTACATGTTGCAGTTGAAATTGCCCTGGGTAACAACAGACAAAGGATATGAGACTATTCTTCGTTGCTGCTTTCTATTTGTTGAATCGTCCACTTCTCTTGCATATCCCAAATTTTTCCATTGTGAAACTCTGCGTTTAACACTCAATGTTCATTGTCCACGCGTTTTCAATGGATATCAAGTGTGGAAATGCGCCATTAAAATTAATAAAGCCAGCACTTGGGCTGTGTGGGATCATAAGCATTTCTTTGTTGTAAGTTTTCTTTGCAAAAAAAGAATGTTCCTGATAATGTTCTAAAATTTTTAATTGTTGGAGTTCTTATAATTTTTATTTAATCTAGATTATGAAATTTTTTAATTTGTTTGTTTTTTTTTTCGAATTTTTTTTCGGTTTAATTTTTGTTTTTATAAAACTCTGAAGTTTCTGCTTCAGAATTTGTTATGTGAAAACTTGGCAGGGAATGACGTTTCGTTGAATTAGATTTGCTTTCTTTTTCTAGGATTTGATCAATGAATGGACTTCAAATTCACCTATGGATTTGTTCAAATTCATCCCATATACATGGGAATTCGAAATTAATGCTATGGATAGTTTTGAACTTACACTATTGCTAAATGAACACAATTGGATTGATGCGAGGTAAGTCAGTGCGCTGCCTTTCCTATCTTAGAATCATCTACATTCTAGACAGTGCAGGAAGGAAATCAATTATTTTTCTTTCAGAGTTGTGATGATTGCATACATATTACTTAGTTTCTTATCCTTTTTTAATCATAATTAGTAAACTTGGATGTAAAAAAATAAGTAACAAACTTATTAGAAAAATTATGAGTAAAATTTCAGTTCTTCAGTATCGGCGGAGAATCATTTAGCTGCTATTGTGGGCGAAAATGTTACAATATCATTCATATTACCATTTCTCGACTTCTACCCTAAAACTATAACAACTGTTTACGAAATTAAGACTCAAGGTATGGTTGCACTACGTACATGGTTACCATCTAAAAGTCCTCTCTACAGTGTTCTGCATTCTCTTCTCAAATATTCCTCTTTCACTACCACTTCTTCATCAGTCAAAGATTTACCAGCTGTGTTACATTTAGCGCAGGTTAGTTATTTATTCATCTTTTGTTGTCTCAATGATTTATATAGTTTATCATTTGGTCTATCCATCATAAGTTGATGTTTTTCAATTCTGAATTTTTGATTACTTTGCCAAATACGTTATGTTTGTTTTATTTTTCCTTGCCAAATATATCATATGTTTCCCGAGCGCTTTACTTATTATTGTGGCACTTTTTAGGATTGGATAGAATTGTGGAGAACTGAAACGATCACACTTTTGCTTAAATACGCTAATCATCCTTTGTATTACGATCCACCATCTGATCTTCCGCTCAATGTAATCAAATCAACAACAAAAAACCAAGCGGCTCCAATTACTTTATCTCCTGATCAGTTATCGCTCGAGGTTCCTAATACTTGGACTGGTTGAAATGGCCTTTAAAGCATTCCTTTAAATTAGTGAAATTTCGATTAGGATCACAACAAACCAGTTTAGCACTTTTTCAATCAATTGTAAGACTTAAAAATTAATACCAGGTTCTGGGCTAAATCTTGTTACTGATTTCGTCGAATTTACAATTTTCTTGAATTTCTTTTTAATCAAAAGTTTCTTTTAGGACTTGTGAAATATTATCTTTAGATTGAAATAAGCGATTCCGAAATCATACTGGTAGGCCTGCTCATCCGTTTCATTATTGATCTGAAAAATAATTATTTTGGACTATATGATCAGGTAAGGCTTACTTTACGCGAAATTTTTGTACATTTCAGGTTAGCCTTTAGTAACTGATGTTTGGCAGGAAAATTATGAGAACGAATTGTAGGACTTCATATACTTGATGTGAGGGGACGAGACTTGAACTCTACGAATTTCCTAATTTTTTAAATGCAATTTTTTTGTTACATTTTTTGAAGACACTCATTTTTATTTGTGAGCTATAATATTTTAATTTATAGCTCACTGATGTCGGAAAAATTAACAGCGACACGTCACCGAGCCCACTTTACGGCAACAACATTTCCAGTGAATGTGAGCGATACCGACCGCTGTCGTTGCGTCTCTGCTTACGCATTGGTAAAATTAAAGGACTTTGTTTGGTTCACAGTTCAAAAATGAATCCAAATCTAGGTGAGTAACAGCTTCCCATTTCTAATTTCGAACAATAATAACCTTTCCTTTTTTCCGATTAAAATGATAACCGAAAAAAGTAATTGAATGGAATAAATTAATGCATTTGTTTTTTACTGCTTGCATCATTTCATTTCTGTGTGTCTTCGTTAAATTCTGGTTATTTTGCTGCAAAAAAGCCGTTAATAAGTACATGTGCTAGAGTACATTTCGTATTATTTCAGTCTTTATCGAATTTAGTCGATAGCGTTGCTGGAAAAGCTGAATTAATTGAATGGATAATATTTCAGTGTGAAATTTTTCAGATAGCTCCCCAGAGGTTCGAGTTGATGAATTAGTTTTGGAAATTGTTAAGGATGCATACGGTGCAATGGTTCAGGTAAAACTTTGATCATTTTATGCTAATTATTAATTAAAACATGACATTATGATAAAATCGGTTTTTCAACTTTTAGGTTGGTTTTGGGACGGCTTCAATAAAATTCAAGCCATCCCACGAATTTCCAAATACTGTGAATAGTTTATTGGTGCTGGAAACATTTTCATTTCGTGGCCAGGCCTTTTTTTCTGATGTGGATATTCCATGGGACGCTTTAACGCTTGAATATGGTTGGCTTATGGAAATTTCTGCTGGACAATTGTTTGGTGAACTCCATTCCTCCCAGGTTTTGTTTATTAATTTAGGGCGAATTTTTTCTTGGAAGTCATAAGTATTTTTATTTATTATTCCAGAATTATAAATTCTTGAGAGCTGAATATCAAGTCAAGATAAACTTCAGAATTGATTCTCACTGGATCAATCTTGACATCCCAGTCATTTTTGATTCTTTAGCCATTTAATTCCATGCAATTTCAAGGTTGTGGCATTGTTACCAATCTTTCTTAGTTTTCTGAAAAATGCTGCATCCAACGTCAGATCATTTAACTCTTTTTGATTCATCTGCCAGTAAAAATTTATAAAATGATTTCATGTAAATCAGTGTTGCAGATTGCTGTACTTGTGCAGTGTATCGAATCGTTAGTTGTATTGGCTGTTTGCTCCGATGATAAATTATTAATACCTGAAAAGTTCGTCGTTTAGAAGGCTGTTTAAAACTTAGTTTAAATATAATGGAAATACATGCTATTTGAGCCATTTATAACTGCCTTAAATTTATCACTGTCATGAAACAATATGTGTAGAAATAATTTTTCTTACGACAAAGTTTAAAAATTTATCTCACAATGCTTATATGAATACAGACAAATAAATATGCTAAAAAGCTTTGCAGATATGATTTTTGCATTCATATGAATGACCCTCGCACATGTCCATATGCTGCATTAAACTTAGTTCATCGGAAAGCACCAGTTCAAAACTGTGAATCTGAAGAGAACGTTAGCTTTTTCCCAAAACTTTTTTCATGGAACATACATGTTCCATTTGCTTCCTTCTGTGGAAATTACAACATATATAAGAGATGAATTATTTATTATTTTTTCATTTCATGTGATCTTCAAATTATTTTCAGTTAAAATACAAATCATTACGAATTAGCATTGAGCAAATGAAAGTAGCTATTACGGAGGAACGAAGTGCATTTCAATTTGAACTGTCACCGATCCGTTTGGCTTATTGCAGTTGTCATAATGCATCATTTTGCTCTAATATTCTTCTAAAATTTCCTTCAGTTAACTTTTTATAATTTCGTACATAACGGTATTTCCTATAGAGAATTTGAACTCATCTTGTTAAGAAATGACAAGTTTTTTCTTTTTTTAATTCTTGTACGGTTTCAAAAAGCCGACGATGAGGTATAGAATCATATTTTTTATCCACCTAAATTATGAATGTGAATGGTTAATATTTTCCATATCACTAATATTGAAATGAACAATTGTTTTTTTGAACAACATTCAACACATAACATTTACTGTGAAAGAAATGTCGCGGATAATTCGAGAAATAAAAATATTCCAGATTCAACTGAAACAGTTTATATCTGTTTTGGCAAAGGATGTCGAAAAGTGGATTGAATGTGGCTCTATTTTGTTGGGTGACATAACTTTCGATGTGTGCTTGCCTTATCAAATGTCTGAAGGACATCTAATCTTGGAGCAGAAAAATTTCCTTAATAAACACGATAAACGTACCAAAAGGTAAATAAATCAGCATTTACCTGATTTCCTCGATGAAAATATATCCTGTGTTCATATCAGTATGGTAATTTCTTTTTATGAAATTTTAGGTTGCGCTTCCAGTGGAGATTTTAAATTATAAAATTATAAAAATTAGGAAGAGGAAGGAAGGTGAATTGGCGTTTTTGTAACATCGAAAGAAATATATGGAAATTAGATGACCTTAGCTACATTTTTTATTTGTATCTCCTTTTGCAGACTTTATTTCTTATGGGATAATACGAATAGTTGCGCCTGCTTTGGTCATACTTGGTTTTTTGGTCCTGTCGATATAGTGTATGCTCTTACATTTGCTTTTGTTATTTGTTTATATTAATTAAAATTTTCATTTTGTTTTTCTGCTAATATATACTATCTTTTCAGTGGGTTGTCATTCATGCGCGAACTTAATAAGCCTTCTTTATGCAGCAATATTAGAAGTGAGGAAAATGTGCAACCTGTTATTGGTCAGAGTATTATTTATGAGAGTAGATGGTAATTTTTTCCAATATTTTAACTGCTTCTTGTTTAGAGAAGATCTTTCGGTCACTTTGTAGTGTTGCAGGATGATCAGTACGAGAAATCTAGTGGAGCGGAAAAGTCCCGCTGTAATCGAAGAAAGTAGAAAAGAGGTGAGTAATTAATATATGCGCTATAAGTTTAAAATTAATACTTCACTTTAGGAAATTTTATTTACAGGAAACTATTACTGGAAGGAAGACATCCTCTAACGATTCGTTCCATTCAGCACTTTCATCAACTGATGTTAATGTCTATCATCACATGGTTGGTCCAATACTCTCATCGACAATCCTTCATGAAAGTTATGCTTCATTTTTGAGTGTTTACGAAAATGGAATCACAACTGATAGTAATTCGAAATTGTTAAAGTCCAACTTCTTCCGAAAGGTGAAGTTTTTGAATTTTTTTGTTATTCGAGAACTTCATTTTCATTTTTAGCAAACTGATTTTCAAATCCAATGAAATATTTAAAGCGAGATCAAATTTGATTTTTAATACGTTTTTTACAAAAGTCTTACAAAAACGTATTATCGCATTCTGACTTCTTTACATAAGCTTTCTTGAAGTTAAGAATTCGAAGTTTAAAATTTTTAAGGTGACATCTGGAATCAATGAACTTACATTAACAAAACACGAAGAGAAGCAGAAATTAGCTATGAAAAAAGATGTCAGTGCTACTAAATCATCTCTTGATGCTGATATTTCTGATCAACACACGATGAAAATAAATGGCATTTTAGGTAGTCAGTTGCATGTAAGTTATCAGTTGTAAATTTCTTACGTGAAGTTATCAGATATAAATTCTTTTCAGTGCAATCACCATTCAAGGAATTTATTAGATAGAGAATTTATCGAGGTGTACGGGACCGTAATAATTTATTGTCATTCTCAAAAATTGATTGTTAAGTACTATTTGCCAGTCTTTTTTTATCTAGTCTCTCTTTTTTTTCAGATAGTTATCCCTAATTAAGGAAATCTGAAATGAAAATTCGTTAGCAGTAAACATTTCATTTAAATCAATTCTAGATTTTTATAACACCGCTGGCTTTAGAAGTGACACAACGTATTATGGAGCAGATATCGGCTGGGTTCATGCTTGTAAATCCAGTTTTTATCGTTCAGCATCTTTACACCTCGTGTTCCTTCCAACATCATTCCCAACCTCTTACAAATGACCTAATTAAAGAATTAAGTTCGTTATTTGTGTTGAATTGATTAATTGCTACATCATTAGTTCTAATAGCAGAAATTCAATATTATTATTTCTTTAATATTATCATTTTTTTGTATATAACAGGTTCCTTAAGATGTATAATTTTAATAGATATTCCGTTATCATAAGTCTTGAATCAAGGGTTATCATTTTGAGAAATAGATTTTATTTTGGTTTTAATATGTATAGATATGTATTTCTGAATCTAAAAATTATAGTGTCAGAACTAAATTGACTAATTTTAAATCACTGTTATTTGTCTAAGAAGTAATTTAGCTATAGAGGAGTATCTGATTAATTTGTGCTAATACTTTCCTCATTTATTATCCTCTCTTTTTAGATAACAAAAAAGGTCAATCGCGTTTGCAAGGCAGTATTGCGTTTCCTGACATTAATATCGTTTTCTTCCAATGTGGAATGATTGAAAAAACTGTCCACTCGTCATCACTTGAAGATTCTGTATCTCGTCTAGCTCGAAATAGTGTTATTCTACTACGTTTTCACAAGACCCTTTTATTTCTTTCAAGCAACGACTCTCACAGAGTAAATACTTTTCTTCAGATTTTAGATTTTAGTGTAATTTCAATATGCATGACTTAATCTAAATAACGGAGCTGATAGGTTCTCACAATTGCACTTTCCTTATTTCTTTTCAGAAGAAAAGTTTTCCTGGAATGGAATTTACCTTGAAAGGTCATGCACAATTTCTCCAGCTGGTTGAGTCATGGAAATTAGATTTCGCCTACAATAAGTCTTTTTCCCTTAAATATTCTACAAATTGGAACCAGCTTAATTTAAGCAACCGTTTTAATGGGTATGATCTAAGAGTTGTTATAGGTTAGTTAAAAGTGCAATTTATCAATGTTATTTAAAGTATTTCGACTATATATTTCAACATATGATTTGATGTATTATTATTAGTAACTGTTTTTGAATAGTAACATGGGTTCAATTTTATTTGATATTTATTTACACATAAAAGGCTTATTTTTGCTGTAAAAAAATAAATTCGAATAGTATTTTTCTTCCTTGCAGATAGTGAACTTCCCGATCTGACGTTAAGGGTAAACAATAATGGAGTGAATAGTAAATTACACTCGTCAGGTACACAGGATCAGCTATCTTTGTTGATCGGACCTTGTGGATTAACAATTGGTTTATGTAAACCAATTGGGCAAACAACCAGGTTTGGTCTTATTACTTGATAAAATATATAAGTTTTGGTGATAAGAATTTTAAAAAAGAATTCAAAATTTTGAAGATTCTAATAGCAGTTTTATGAGAGTTCCATTTGTAAAAAGTTATTTCGGCTTATGGTGACTTTCCATCATTTTTAAAGCATGGAATGGCCATTTTTCGATGTATTTGCACCTTGTATAACTTCTTGGATATATGCTATTGATCGGTTAAGCGAAAGCTTAACAAAAAATATAGCAGCTGTGGATGAATGGATAGATTTTTCATTAATCAAATTGCTATTGGAAGTGATGGATTGCAGCAATGGTCAGGTGCGCAATTTCTGTGCTATAAAAAATATGAGAATTGTTGCTTTATTCCCTGATGTTTTTAGTCTCATGCATCCTTTCATTCACAGTTTATTCTTTGCTTACGTCAATACGCAGTTTAGCACTTCTTAGTGATCTTGCTATAATTGTATTTTAGCTATTTGCATTCGAAAAGAGCTGTTTTTCGGATGTGCAACTATATCATAAGGCTGCAGCTTCGTGTCCCAGTTGTATGTTAACGACAATTTTATTACGTTATGCTGTCCAGGAGGATCTCAGCGATTGTTGGCAACAAATGGATTATTCGGAAATGCGACATTATTTGAACGAAAGACGAAGAAAGCAAGCATTAATAGCTTTACTCAGCCACTGGCAAACTATAATTTGTTCACAAGTTAAGGTAATAGTTTCTTAATAGAAATCAGATTTGTTATGCAGTCAATCTAACAAGTTCTGATTTGCTTGTGGTTGGAAAAAAGTACATAAGTATTGAAAATCAGAAGAAACATTATTGCGTTTTGTCTTAATCATTGATTGCGATTAATGATTAATTTTTGCTAATTAGCGTACCGATAGCCTAACTAATGAACTTGATAGAAAAATTGACGATTGGCACCATGAATTACATTCGGCATATTGTGAAAAGACTGATGCTGATTTGCTTCTTATGTAAATAATGCTTGTGCTGATTCTATGAAGTTTATTAATTGCAGATTTCAAATGTTGAATTGGCACACAGATATCTTAAACATCATCTAAAAAATGCAACAAGTTCACATGAAGTTCGTATAACTGTTGATTCGAAGCAGTTGAGTAGTGTTATTGATAAAAATGATTGTAACAGTAGTGCTCGTTCAACTGCCGAGTCCCATCAAAGTATGTTATTTTCTATATCGATTTTTTTGTTATTAAGTCTAGAAACTTATTCACTTTGCCATCATTCAGAGATCATGGTGGGAAGCAATTAAACTAGATGAAAATATTCCATTTTCACTTCTAATTTATTGTTTCATGTAGATATATTATTTCTTTTTATATGAACAGTAATCAATAAGCGCAGTAATATTAAATTAAATATTAACATTTAAGAATTGTAATTACATTGTTTTATCTGATTTGCGTAGATTCAAAAAACTCATTAGATGAAATGGATAATAAAATATACTTCAGTGGATTTATACCACTGGATTTTGGCTAAGCATCTTGAACATAAAGAAGCGGCAACAAGAAATAGAACTACCAAGAAGCTCCTGGATGATGCACCAATAAATGCCATGGAAATTGCTTTATCTGCCTTCTTTTGGAATTTTTATAAGGTGCTTTTTTTATATAAATAGCAATCAATAAGTTCAGTGGTATTAAGTTAAATAAATATTAACATTTGAGAATCTTATCGGCTATGAAATCGAATCTAAAGCTTGGAAAGCAATAGTTAAGTATTGTTTCAAGAAGAAAGGATGATGGAAATTTCGAAGGTTTGATAGAATTATGCATTTCAATGCATTTATTTTTGTCTTTTATTATTAAAGTTAAATTTTTAGACAGTGAATACTGAGTTATGGATTGCCATTATGAGCCACTTTCTATTGTATTAACAGCTGTATTAACAGAAATAATACTGATATTTTGAAATAGGTTACTTCATTTCATTTTATTTTAGTAGTAGAAACGAAGCTTACAACAATCTCCATTTTAGTAGAATAATTTTAAATATTACGGTTGATTCGTTTACATGCGTTAAATTGTTTTATTTCAGGCACGCGGGCTTGAGTCTTCAAAGGCAAATATTCTGCTGCCAGTGGCTAACGTTGATGCTAAGTTTTTGGTTGAATTAGTATCGCTGAAGGTAGAATTTAAAAAATTTTCAGTTATCAGTTAGGTGATTCGAATTATTGACAAAAATTTGACACTTTTCTCACCCATGTGTTTTGAGACTATATTCACTGATAATGAGTATTTTATCATTTCCATCTTTTATTTCTCTTCAAATTACAGGATAGTATAGAGAAATTTCAGACAGCCACATTTGTATGCATAACTGGAAAGATTTATATTGAAGCAATAAATTAAGAGCTTTAATTCGTGGAAAAAACATTTTCCAAATAAAATGCAAATAAGGACTGTAACCATAAGAGTTTACAAAGATCTTTATTGAACTGAAAACCACAGTTGAATACCTGTTAGAAATCTATGAATATGTATTGTATGCTATTTTAGATTGATATATTGGAACCAAAAATGATTTCTGCATCGAATGTCAACTATTTGTCAACAACTAGACATCACTTACTGCACTTGGATTCACTTGATATGATGGGACAGATTCACACAAAACCACGTTTTGATGAACTTAAACTTCAGCCTATAAGGTATATGAATTTTTTTTGTGAAGCAGAAGTGAAATTTTTCCTTACAAAATGAATCGGCATATATAGTCAGAATGTCTATTTGATAATTTTTAACGTTCCACCGTTGACATTTTCATGAACAACGAGAATTTATAGTATATTTTTTTTATAAATTTTTCACTTAATTTCAGATAGATTAATGAGGCCTACATATCGAGAAACAAAATAAAATTCCAATTTTTAGGATTTCCATATTTTTGTCGTATAATTCATCTGTGCAGAACATTCACACCGTATTTCCCTTTGTGGCTGTCTGTCTTTTCAACGATCTTTTACGTGTGACTCGTTCTTGTACATCAGCTTTTGCACATTTGAAGATGGCCAGAACACCAAAGGAAACAATGTGCATTTCAAAATCTCCTTCAGATCTTACAGTTTCCGAATTTGGTATTATTAGTTCAACATATTGGTTACATAATGTGATCGATAAATTACAAGATTATTTGGGGTAATTTGCTTTGTTTTAAAATATTATAAATTTATTTGAATAGTTTGTTATTTACATCGGTCAAATTCATATTTTAATCTTCTTTATGTGGAATTTCAGTTCTCGAACTAGCATAATACAGTTCAATGATGAAATCTTAGAAATGAAAGTGGATGGCAATATGGATATTAAAGTTGCTGTTCTTGAAATGACACTTACCCATCTGTATATTTCAGCGACATTGAGAAGGACACGAGTTAGTCTTAGAATAAAAATTATGTAACTAAAGAATACTGATAAAATGACATTTATTTTCAGTTTTAAGCGAGATTTCAGAATCATTGAAAAATTGGACACTTTTCAGCTTGAACATATGAATCGACGTGATAAGATGACAGACAATAAGATATTGGATGAGTTGAATGCTTCTATTCAACGTGCTAATCTGATTTTATCCGAATTTGTGATGGGTCGCGATGCTAAGCATATCGTTAGCTTTTTGGTGAAGACGAGTTCGTTAAACTTTGAAAGGTGCTTATATTTTTTAGACACATTCTTAAAAAGATTAAAATTTCGAGGAATGATTAAATTAATTAAGTTGCAGGGAGAAGTATATTAAAGGTTCAGTGAGAAGTCGTATTAAAGTGTTGATTGGTGATGTTGAGGGTGATACGCCTATTTATGCTCAGAATCTTCATGAAGTGGTTCTCAGGAATGTTTCGCAATTGAATGAACAGATAACTCGTTTGGAATACAACTTCCCAACGGTATCATTGCATATCATAATTTTTCGAAACGCGTTTGTGCTTTATTATTCATTATCTTTGCATAATTAGAGTGGTTAAAATGTGCTAAATGTGATTAGAGACACAATGGCTCATTTTTTCATTTTCTGGAATTGAAATTTAAAAATCATTTCAGCCTGTTGGTGAATATTCAGCTCATTTGCAACAACGACAAGGTGTAGTGGTTGTGAATTTTGAACTTCTAATAAGCAGCATTGAATTGTCTGCTCAATTACTGCCTTCACTGAAAGTCAAGTATCGACTTGATGAGGCTCAAAGTTGTGGAAATACGTTCGTTTTTTTTTTGATTTATTGACGGATACTGTGTAAAATTCGGAAACTTAAATTTTAAATATAAAGTTAAATTTTTTTCTTTGATTTTGTTGAATTGCAGAGGATCAGCATCGAAATTTACTGGCCGAATTAAAAGCCACGTTGTTCATTTCACTGTCGTTGCACCTAATGATTCGTTGAATTCGGACACCTTTACGCTAGTGCTTCCTCACATTTCTGCTGATGGAGCATATCGCATGCCGGAGAAAATTGAACTTATGGATGAAATGGGGGACGAAAATTTTCTGTTCAGAGAGGGAGGATACATCGATGTAATGTTGACAATCGGTAACACTTATTATTGTTATTTAATCAAAATGCATTGTCGAAATGTTTGCGGGCAAAGTATTGCAACTAATTAAAGCGTTCATTTATTTTTATGCATTTTTGGGGACTTAATGAATATATCTTTTATTATTAAAAAAATGTATAAATCATTAGTTCCAAATCTATTTTTTTCTAAATTTCAGGTAAATTAGAACATGTATTCACGACAGATTTGCTTAATCAAATTCTTTTTGCGGAACAATGCTTCCGTGCTGAACTCACTTCGCTGATCGACAGAATCCTTGACGACAGAACAGTTCCTCCACCAACACCATCCGAACAACTCCCTTCACAAGATCCATTCCTATTCACTATTACAGCAAGTTTCGATCTATGTTCTTGTGTTTTTACTGCTATCTTTGTTTAACTCTATAGTATATTTCTGAGTTAAAACGTTTATTTATGTTTAACGCGAATTAAATTAATAAATTATTAACTTGTGGAAATAAGAAAATTTACTTACTTATCAGTTTTATTTTTTGGAAACTTCTGATAAACTAAATCATAACTAAAAGTCAGACACTGAAGGAAATGTCTGATTTTTTTCATTTTTATAATGCTTAAGTTTCTGGACTTTTTGTTTAATTCGTTTAGTTTTGTGCTTCATGAGTTTGCTGAAACATATATCTCTCCTAGCTTTCATATTACTCTTCCAAACCTTGATGATTTATTTTGGACAAATTAAACGGGAACAAATAGTCCAAATTTACAGTGTAGAGACACTTTTGTTTTTTGGCTTTCAAATAATGTAAATAATTTTATGCAAAAGAACTCATGCTTTATGTAATTTTAGCTACGCGGTGAGACAGCTCCTTGGCTTCAACTCACTGCTAGTACACCAACTTCAATTGCAGTCCGATTAACATTTGATAATATCACAGCTACTTTAACCAATCGTTGGACACAGAAAGGAGTTAAGTCAACGGTAAATTTCGAGATCGTTTTAGAACTTCAAAACCTTTTAGTTGGTAAGCTCAGTATTAAACATTAACAAAGAGAAATTACTTCTAAATTTTTACACTTATTAGCAGGGGGCCATAAATTTACTTAGGTCCTTTCTTACCATGAATAAATGTTCAGAAAAGATTGTATGGGAAAGCAGTAATTGGCGTGAGTGCTAAACTTGGTCTTTTGGTTAAAACTGCCATGTTTGAAGAGATTGAAACTGAGCTGCAAGAATTTGCGACGTTTATGACACAGGTAAAATTTCGTTTTTACATTAAATTCCGAATTCAAAACACATAAAATTTTGCTATCATAAAATAAGTCCAGGTATTTCATCGCGACGCTATAATGTGTTCAAGCTTAGGAATTTCTAGCAAATTGCGAACTAAAGTGAATCGTTTTCGCCTTACTTTTTTAAGGAATTGCTTAGGATACGAGTAGATTAAAAGTTTAAAGACATGACTTTCAGATTAGTAAAAAGTATATAAGCACATTTTTATGAAATAAATTTTTGATGAAACTAAAATTAAATATAGACTAATGGATTCAGAATTTAGATAACCTTGCAAAATAAGAGTAACACCAGCGTGACATCTGCATATAGTTATGTTGTTACGGTAAATCGTTCAATTCTTCTCATTAAGTCGTCGGCAATCGATAAAGTGAGTTCTTTTGTTATATAATCATCACCCTTCATTGTTAATGACCTTTTTTGTCTAGCCTTGACTTACCCGTGAAAAAATTTTCCTTTTTGTTTCTTGTCACACTCCATCGTCACATATTTCATTCTCTTATTTCAGGCGATCTTATTGTGGCTAAATTACAAAAATACTTACGACTTTTGGCATGAAGAACGGAAGAAAATGTTAAAATCGGCAAGACGATTGTCTCTTATGTCGACTCATGCTTCAACACCTCAAGTAAGTTTTTTTTTTTTTTGATTTGGGGAAAAGCGATCAAATTTTAGAATTTAACATTAAATCATTGGAATAATTTATTTGTATTATTATATATTCCGAAATTATCATTAATTAAATTAGTCAAGATAGTAATGCAATTGTGATTGAGTTTCTGTTTTGTGACTGTTATTTTTATTTGCTGAAAATTTCGTTCGTTCAAATTTTTCATCTGTCCTATAACGTCATCATAAATTGAAATATGATATAATTTGTAACATTTATCTTCAACTATGTCATCCAGTTGTTGATAATTTTGGTAATGGAAAACATTATTGGAGATTTTTTATACATGTGAAGTTGACAAATCGAATAATTTTCATAATATTTGGAAGCTTATTAGTAGGTTTTATTTCATGCACAAAATTCTATTTGCCTAATTGAACTACATCAAACTGAATTGAAGTTGGTCTACTTCAAATAATTTGGATTGAATTGGAAGAAAATGTTAGAATTTCGAATAAAAATTTTTCAACATACATTGCAGAGTGCAGAATCAGGAGTGAATGTAAGTTTGTCGTTGAAAGTAACTAATGGTATCTATGTCTGTATGCCATTATATAGTGCAGATCTGAGTGAAAATCTCTCTGCACTACTTATTTCGCTGCAAAGCACGGATATCAGCGTTTGTGTGAAGAAAGAATTGGTGTGTCAAGCAACGTTTCATAAATTTAAAGTCAAATTTATTGATAATTTCGATGATCAGGTAATTACCAAATACTAATGCTTAAAGAATAAATTGTTTGAATTCAAATTTAATTTGGTTACGCGATCCTTCTTAATAATCTCACTACAATTTTTTTAATTTTAGCAAGATTTTTAAATTTTAAGAATGGTGCAATTGTTATGCCCTAACATTTCTTTTTCACTCTATATTAAATATACGAAGAGCCGTAGCAATTAATGTCCATTACGGGAGAATTATACTGCAAATACGAACAACGGTATCAAATGTATCAAATTTTGCAGGCTCTGAATGATACTTGGATCGAGGAGGAACCTGGCGACCCATCACGTTCAAATTATTTCTATTTTCCACAAGGTACTTATCAGCTTGTTTCACGTGCAACGGCTGCTTTTGATTCATCCGAGAATGCTAAGTGGACTTTATCAATAAAATGGCAAATGTGTGGAATGGTAATAGATCTTGATCAAGTAAGTTGTAGATTGTTATTTAATTATTTTCCCAAATTAGTTTTTCTTCTAACGTTGATACATTACAGCTTTCTTTAAATTTAAACCCAATTAGTTCTAATATATATGAGAAATCCAATCATGAAAATGAATGAAGAAATTACGGAAATTTTTTGAACGAGTAGGATAAATGTGTAGGATACTTATAAATAACTTTTATAAATAACTTTTAGCGCATCGGCAAGCATGCATCACTTCTAATTAGTACTTTCTCATCGCTTACGTCTGACATCAGCGAAGATTGGGAAGAATTGGGAAACGAATCATCTGTCGTCTATGATGGTGAGGATGAACAAGATGCTGAAATCGATGCTACCGGTGAGCTTGGAAGTCTTGCGCAACCCGAAGAACGAATTCAATGGCTAGAGAGAAAAGTAAGTCCTAATACTTTTATGTTTCAAAGATTAGAATGTTGAAATTAGCATTAATATAGCATCAATTTCGAAATAAAAGTTTCAAAAGGGGCAAAATGGTGCTATTAGGAGTTATTTTTCTAAATCTTGTAATTTTTCACGTTAGGATTGGGTTTTTTATTGTTTTATGAATTTGAAATTTTTAATTTAGAAAATCAGAAAATCGGAATTTATAGATGCACGAACAGTCGGTTTTGGTCACCGATTTGATGCAGTGTGGAGCATCGGAACCGGCTATCGAAAAGGAAAGACGAACGTTACGTAAATTAGAGTCAGCTCGATTTAAGCAGTTTCGAAAATCGATAATTGAAAAATTAAAACGTAATGCTGTTCGTCAGCAGAAAAAATTAATGGAGCCAAAAAAGGTTTTTTTTTGAGCATTTTTATTACATAAGAGGCAAGGATTTTATTTGCAAAACTCTTATACATCTTATACTTGCATTATTTCGTGAATTGTTATTCCAACATAAGAAGAATCTTACTAGTTTTTTGTTCTTAAAGCTTTCACTTTTCAAGATTAAAAATAAATCAAGTAATCAAAGGAGTCCTAAACTTTATTCTTTTTTTCTTATTACTATTTGAAAAATAAATTGTAGTTTGTCAGAACTCATGAAACAAAGCAGATGGCAAATATATTCTCGTCTGAACAGTCGGATGGTCCGTCAGAGATGTCTTCTATTGCGGCAAAGAAAAACGCATCGCTGGATTTACAACTCGGTGGATTACGTAAAACTTCGGAGAGAGGATCGTTAAGCGGACGTTCATCAGAGAGTAATGCTATGGCAAGTACGGTAGATATGAATATCGATGTGCAGGTAAAGTTTCATATATTTCCAATCTCCATTGTTTATAGAAGTTTCAAATTTTGAAAGTCCAGAATGACATGATTCTTCCAGGTGGGTATCGAATCTGGTTCATGTACTTTGCGAGCGCTGGGTAAAGAAGAAAGCACAGGTCTTCCGTCGAAACGTCCATCTGCACGAGATCTGAGGTCAAAAATGGCACAAACAAGTGAACCTGTAGCGGTCACAAAATTTGCAATTCCGAGGTTTAATTCTGTTCGGAGAAGTCTTTATTCAGATTTAATAACATACATACCAGTTACTTTTCTTTAAGATTACTTGTTAACGACAGTATTATACGTAGTGAATTTACATAATTCGATTTTTTATCAGTTGTGATGTGCGAATCATTGAGATGATCGAATCTGCTTCGTAATTGTGATGTTAAGTAGTACTTCTCAGCAATTATTTAAAATCCGCTTTTGTTCAAGTAATAGTAAATCAGGGATTATAAATTAAAACATTGGATAAGCGTGCCTTTCTGTTATTAATTTGTCTTTTATCTCTTTTTCAGTGTTGACATCAGAGCTTATTATACATCGCTGGATACGGGTCAGATCCATAAACAAATACCTCGTCATGTCCAAGCGACGTTTTCGCATAAATATGGACGATCAAGGTTGACTCTAGTTAAATTTTAGAGAAAAGCATGATTATTATAAACTTGAATCTGATAAGAGACTAGGATTTAATGAATCACATGAGTACAGAGCATAACAATAAAGTTTAATCTGTTCAATTTAAAACTTATTTTTTCAGTCAGTGGCGTCGACCAGCCTTTTATCTTGCAATCGAGTTGGCAAGTATGCCGCAAGAATCGCTAATAACGCCACATCTCGCTGATTTCCTTGAGCAAGTATTTGCAACAATTCCTGAAAATAATGTTAATTCATCGTTAAATGTAAGTTAAGTTATTCATAGTTGTTAAAATTTAGAATTCCTCTCTTTTTTATTTTTTTTTATATTTTCGCTATTATTTCTCTTAATCAAAATTCATTACTTTTTCAGGGTTTACATCTGGTTTCAAGATTCTAGATCTGTTAAATTCACTCTTAAACTTCCATTATTCATAATTCCAAAAATTTAGCTTTCAAACATGAATCTGAATGAAATGAGTGATTCTGATGTATCGATTGTCGAAATGGATGCCTCTGTAATTCCCCTCGATGTTTTATTCCATTTGACTGTGCAGTCTTCTGCAATTCGATTTGAAGGTCAACAGCAGGTGATTATCTATTATCTTTGTAGTATTTTTCATTATAAAATTTTACTGAAAAAATCTTAAAGTGTAGCATAATATTACATACTTTCAACAAACGCTTCCTGTAATGGTTAATTTTTTTGAACTTGCTGAGCAATCTATTCGTGAAATTCATTTTGCCAATGACTGGCATTTATTCATCATATTGATTTAGCAATTGAGTTCAACTGTTAATAAAATAGAACAATAAACAAATGATCTATATGTGTCAGTGAAGTGGTTAGTTAGTTAATAAATATGCAAATAATTTATTTTGAAAGAATCTTTTTGTTTAATTTATTTAAGCGAACAGCTGCAGCTGATTGTTTGCTAAAGCTTCCATCACTAACACTGATGGCATCAACAAGACCGCATTGCGAAGGAGCAATTGGGAGGGCTGGTAGTAGTGGTAGTGATACAGGTGGAGGTGGAATACATGTTGCTGCAACATTAAGTGCTTTCTCGTTGAATATCTACAGTCCACATCAAGTAAATGTTATGAAATTTCTTTTCAAAGGGAGTAGAACAATAAAAATGCCTTTACTTATGTTTTGTATTGATTGAACAATTGCATATGAGACATGGCCGCTCATTAATCGAACGAAAAAGTTCATGGTGTCGAACGCCGGACTGTTTAGAGAGAGAGAGAGAGTTTTAAGATTTTTATGAATTTCTGTCCTAGACTATAGACTTACGCAAACAGCATTGTAACTATTAGATGCTTTTATATTTCAATAAATGACTTCAGAGTTTATGAGGTCCATTTGTTGTGTCTAAGTTCAAGTTGATTTAGATTTATAGGGGGAAGATTTGATTACATTACTATCAATTTTTAATTTCATGTAGTAACGCAAAGTTTAAACATATTAACGTTCAGCAAAGTTTTAGCGTTCTACAGCTCAAGATGCTCTTCTGCTAACACTTGATCATTTATCGATCCTAGCTTCGAGAAGTAAAAATAGTCGTCTGGAATCGGACAACAAAGTTCAGGTGATTATTGTTATCGGAAAGAGACTAGGAGTGTGAGAAGTTGGGATGAGAAGAATGGAGAGAGGACAAAATTGTTCTGTTTTTTACAGTTCGTTTTAACTGCGAATGTTGGATCAGCTAATTTCAATTATGATATGCGTCGCCTTGCGGAATTGATTTCCTTTCCGAAACCGTGGTATCGGCATACTATTGTACAGAGATTGTTCTTCGGAGATCATTCCGTGAAAACTCCAACTTATAATACTGAGACACCGCTTGTCATGAGTCACGTATCATCGAGACCACTTTCTAATAAGTTAGTTTTTCTGTCGTTTGAAATTCATTTTTTTATTGACTTAAATTAAATTGATTTTTTCCGCTGATATCTGAAGCTTAAATTGCTTTCCTAAATCAAAACTTTACGAACTATGCTTTTAAAGCGTTATTACCCCTTGTCCGTTTTGTCTATTTTTTGATCCTGTTGTCCAATATTCAGGAAATTTTACATCGTGTCATATTCCCTAGTGATTGTAGAGTTCCATCAACGCAAGAGGTCCTGAAGAAAAAGGATTGGAGTGCTGCTATAATATGTGGTGTAGAATGGAAGGAGCTCAATATCAGTGCGCAAATGGCTAATACCATGGGCAATACGAAATTGATTTTACGTGAGGGTGTTTTGCATGGTTATTGTCAGGTAATATTTTAATTTAATCTTATATCAAACATATTAATGGTTCTGTCTAGCAATCATATACTAAACTAAACACTGCATTTCCTCAGTTTCTTTTCTTCAAAAATTGATGCTAATCAAAGTTTTTCACGCTTAATCACTGATTATCAGTGAAAACTTGTATATATTATCTGATTGTCAAATAAATTTGCCAAAATTTCTGCTCATTTCGAAAAATTTACTGTTTTCAGCTTAATTCAAAACAAGATCGTTCAATTTCTATCAATTTCGGTTTGGAATCAGCTGTGTTATCAGCTTACGGGGGTGTAATATCAGGCGAAATTGCTATCACATCTTTACACATTGCATGCAAAAATCAAACAGCTGCTTTGGTATATCTGTATATAATTTTCCATTTGATTAATGTGTTCATTACAGTTCATTCTAGTAGTTGTCTCTTTTCCGTTTGTTTATGTGAAAAAAGTATTCAAATATTATTTATAGTTAATTAAGACACAATTGTTTTCACAGAAACCGCCTCGAAATTGTGCAAAGTTAGAGTTAACGGAAGTTCAAAGTCGAATTGAATGGATGAGTCGACCAATATTCATTGCAAAATGCGAAAAACCATCAGTCACGTTTTTGGATGAATGGATATCACTTTTTGACGATGCAGGCGAGGTTTGTTGGGCTTTTCTTTTGGCATTTAATACAAATAAAATTTCTTAATAGGATTCCGTTTATAGTTTGAATCATTATTAGAGAGAAGCAAAATATCATTTAAGAAAATGATATCACATGGGAAAATGTTTAAGGCTGTGAAAGCATCTGTGGCTGTCAATATTTCTTGTACTTGGTCAGATTTGCAACTGATTATAACAAAAGTAACAGCAGATGACCTCATAAAGATCGCTCAAAAATTGCAGTCGTTCTTTCAGGTTCAAAAATTTTTCTCTCTTTCTTGTGTTTAAGTTATCCATTTCTTATTATATTTTTTCGAAAAAACTGAAGAATGCTAAGATAATTTATTTACTTGGAAAATGAATTTAAATATAGTCGAGCAAATCTAAAAATTTTGACTGCACTTTAGAATGGACGGCTTAATTACATCAATCGGTAAATACATATTTCAATATAGGAGCAGTTAACGAATAGTCGAATGGTATGGGGTATTAGAAGCTCTATAGTAGTGGATAAAGCTTCTCCGGAAGTTGACGATAAGAATTTTATAAATTTCACCAAATATCATCATTGGCAATCGGTGCTCGATATGCTAACACATATTCAATCTCGGCAAAAACTTTTACCAATGCCAAAAAATTCTGATGGGATGACCATTGTGGGTGGTGTATTGGAACTATCTGGACAAAGTTTATCTTTGGCTTGCATGCATGGAGAAATGAACGCCAGTAGGTAAATCTTGTTATCGACTTATTCAACAGTTATTGAAAACAAAAATTTAATTATTTGTTTGAATATTCTTCCCATTTTCATAATTTTATTGATTTCCATTCGTATATTTTTCTTTTCTTTACATTTTTATCTATCCATGCTACAGGTTAATAAACTTTATAGCTGGGCATTGTTCCATATGCGGCAACCAACAATCATATTTGAACCAGAAGCACGATACATCTTTGTTAATGATAGTCGAGATGTCGGTGTGTCAGTTGCTCAACGACTTAACATCAGGCTCGGTGATATGGCATATCAACGTGGTGATACCGAATGTATGGCTATTGTGTGTCGTGTTCAGGTTAGATTGATTATCTTCAATTTGTTTTATTGCATTATATATGTTTTAACAGTTCTGTAAATTTTATTGCAGCAGAGTAGAGGAAGTATGGTACGGCAAATGAGTTCAGTACTGGCATGTCTTCATCATGTTATTGGCGATGTACTTATGAGACTGAAATACATTCCGTCTAATTTGAATCAGCCTGCTGCGCATCATTCTGTGCTTCAATTATTCCAGTAAGATGAAATATTTGATTCGACTTATATCTTACACCTGTGGTTTATATGATTGCATTTTGTATAATTATAAAAGAATACTCCATATTTTCTTCCTTTTGGAGTATTATTTTTCTCCCTAAAATGGTGGGAAAAAACTTATTTTGTGAAAATTTCCAGATTCCCTGCATTGGATGCTGTCTTATCGACGTTGCAGAAACAAGGGATAGAAGCTGATGAAAGGCTTCCAGCACCTGAGGTTTCTCGTTATATACATATGTGTTTATATGATTCTAGATTTTATAAATTAATTCTTGACATAAATTTTTACATTTTTTGTAGGTGCACAGCTCATTCATTTGCGAATTTCATGATTCGGTAAATGTTCAAACGGATTTCAGTGCACAAGTCAGTTTTTTGCCCGAACTGATCAATACATATATGAAAACTAAGGTATTTTATTTATTCATGGTTCAGCCGATAGTTGCACAAATTTAGATATTCCTGATCCTGTTGTGTTTCTCTGTGTAGTAATGCCTTCTTGTCAGATTTTGCTATCATAAAGAAATCCCAACAATTTTAAGACAAAGGAGGAAAAAGCTGTTGATGTAAATCGTGATTTCCGTCGATTCATCTGTGAACGATGGGTAGTGGACCCGAAAATTTGCTTCATCGATCGTTTTAAATGGAATCCTCCTGTTATCGATGAGATTTTGCGTAAACTGCAGGTGATTCTTGTTCATGTTATTTGACATTCTTGATGAGATTTTCCTCATCGAATTAGAAAACATTAAAGTTAATGAATACAGAGAAACTTGTTCATAAAAAAAAGAGGACAGAATGGGAATGGTGATTTTTGTCCTGAGTTTTCTTTTTTGATACACTTGTTAAAATACCTTTTTTCCATCATTAGTTAGATTCTTGAAGAATAATAATTATTGGCTTTAATTAAGTAATTGGTATAGAGGTAATTCAAATTAAATGAACGAAGTAGCAGCAGGCTATGATGTTGATTATGTTACAGTGTGTAAATGAAGATGGTCTTCGTGAGAAAGCGTATAGCCTGTTTGAGAAAAACATAACAAAGCTTGATTTGACAAGAAAGATTTGAAATGTTGCGAAATCAGTGGCGTGTAAATTTCAAAATTATTTACTAGAAATCTATTCATACATTAAAAATTCTATTCTTTCCAGATATTTGACCATCGAACAACGATACCGAAAGCATTACAGCGCGGACTTCTCGATCCATGTGATGCTTTTTTGGCGCAAATTGAATTATTTATCCTGTTGACTGTCAACAAGTCGTCTAGAAGAACATCTTTTTAAAGCTATTTTTCGAAGATCTTGAAGATTTAATATGCTTTATAGGTTTTAATTCTTTGTAATTAGATTATTTCTGAAAAAACGAGAGTATACTTGGAAATTGTTCACTTATTTTTTCTCTCTTTCTGTGTATATTCCCCAAGCTTTGTGTCTTGGATCAAAACTAGTCTGTTTTTAGTTCTCATGTCTATGTTTTCTGTAGAAATATTGACATCTTAATTATCAGGTTGATTAATTTGTACCTAATTTGAAATTTTGTTTTTGATATTATCTTGGTTTTGAGAGGTGCCTGTGATAGATATTCAACTGTTATTTGGACGCTGTCTGGCATGTAATCATGCGTTAAATAGTATTGACTGATTAACTTCGACAATGTATTCTTCTGCTGATTAATAATCTCATTTCCTACAAACATAGTCACTTTGCATCTTATTTATGTTTTATGATAATTAATCCATTTAAATTCTGTAAGTTACAAATTGTCATATATTTGTAAGCTTTTGATGGATTTCCTGTTTTGATTTTCTTTTTGCGTCTAGTCTGTCTGAAATCGAATTAATGTAGTGCTAAATACCTGAGTAAAGAAATGTTTATTTCTAAAAATTTTTCTGTTGCGTTTATTAAGAGATATTTTTATTGCTATGATCTGTCTGCAAAAAGATTACATTTTTCTCTCTTTTCGAAATAAGCAACTATAAAAATAGAAATTTACATGAATTAATTTTTAGAAAAGAAATTGCAAGCCGTACTGTTTTTGGAAATAATTTAATTGCTTTTTCAAAATGAAATTGTAGCATCGCTATTGTTATCAGACTGCAACAAATCATCGGCAATAAGTTCTTCCACAATATCCTCATCTGTAATGTATATTTTAAGTATACGTAAACAATAGTCTCTTCAAAATTTTAAAAATTATCTGGAAAAATGAAATATGCTACGGATGAAACAAACAATAAGAACGAAGTGTTTCATAATAAGCGTATAAATTATTAAAGAACCTCAATGTAGCTTAAGCTTGTTTGTATAGATCTTAGATGAATTTAAATTAAGCGAAATTTACCTGTTTCACTTTTATTAGATGATGGTGACTTTAGTATAGTATCTAGCAGGCTTGAAAATGCTACTGTTCCTGTTCCGGTTTGATTCGATGGTTTATTCAGGGATGAAATCGATGGTAATTTTGTTGTTGGTGCTGATTCATTTGATACTGGTATAATTGGTGGTAACTTTCTGGGATGAGTTGATGATAACGATGTGATATATTTGGTCGATTGTTGCTGACATTTATTTGTTGATGATGATGATAACCTCTTTGCAGTTTGTTGCAGTTGCTGGTGTTCAAAAATTGTTGATGATTTCGAACTTGAATTAATATTTTCATTATTGTATTTCTCTACTTTATCATTATTAATTGTTTTTTCGATTGATCGATCATCTTGTATTTCTGTTCCACTTTTTCCTTCATTTCTATTACTGCTTCTCAAATTAAAAAAAAGAAACTTTTTTTTTGAAATGTTCGAAATTTAAAAAAGAATAAAGCAAAAATTAAAAGACATTCGGAAATGTTTGTCATTTAATTATGTTCGCGAAAAAATTGTAATAAAATGATGTATAATGAGAATCAAACCTAAACATTTTAAAAATACTAATGAAGAGAGCAGTTAAAAAAAAGAAGAGAATTGATTTCGGAAATTTTGAGTAATCAGAATGGAACAGTTTATTGTTAATTCTGCTCAGGTTAATTAGTTAATTCTTAGAAATCTTTCTCAAATTTTCAGGATTTATGAAGGTTTATATGATTTATATAAAAATTTATAAAGATTCTGTATAATTTTTAAAACTTCAAACCTTGCTAACTATTCACTATTCACCATTGAGTTAGATATTAGTAAATAGTATCCTTTTCAAAAGACACTTCATTTATTCCGTGTATTTATGTTATTTGATGTGTTGCATTTTAAATTCGGAAACGCAACGGAGTGCGAGGATGATTTACGTACGTAAAGATGATTGAGATACTAAAACAAGTAACTAACACAGTAAACTTTCTTTCAGTAGTACGATGAGTAATAATAAGAAAAGTTTAACCTGTTGGAAGCTTCATTTTCATCGTTCGATATTTCATTATCCGAAGTAAGACTTTTTAAAGTTCTATTCAATTCGAAATTTACTATTTGTTGCTTTTCGATAGTTTCCACATCATTTTTTTTACTGTTATTTTCTCCAAGAGATGAAACAAAATTTGAATCGATATTACTCATTTCATTAATTCCAATTCTAGTAGAATGTAAATCGTTCATTGTTCGTTTAATTTCGGTTGAGGTGAAATTTGATAAGTTGATGGTGTCACCAAAAAATTGAAAACAGAATGTTGCAACATTTTCTTTTTTTAATTCTTCCAAAGAGATAATTTGCTAAAATTTAAATGATATTAATAATTCGATTTGATTACATCCAACAATTTTCAGAAAGAAAAAAAGAAAAGAAAAAATACAAAACAGTTAAGAAGGGAAATATGTTTTAAAATTTTATGAGTAATAAATTTTGTTACCTGATGTATTTCTTTTTCAAACACTGCTGCTGTTGCTAGGAATCGATTTTGTTTGAGGAAATGATAAATGATTGAATAGCCAAGCCTTTGGTCCAATTTACTTCCGTCCACTTTCAATTCACTATCATCGTTACTTTCAATTGCAAGAAATACAGCGCAGCGTAATTCTGCCTATATTTTAATATAAATTTACCAACCTAACTTTTTTCGCGATCAATTTCTGAAATTTCTTTTTTTCTTAAATTTTCAGAAGAAAGAAATCATTATTTGAATGAATAGATAACTTTACTGAAACTTCTTTAAATTATAACTCTTTAAATTGTGGCATTTTATAAACGAGTAATTCAAAAATTTTAATGTAGTTTTGCATTTCGTCAAATATTTTAAAGCCTATTTGATATGCTTATTGATGTGGATGAATGAAATTTGATGAAATATACCAAACTTTCAAGTAAAATTTTTAACTCCATCAAAAAAAAAAACAATTTTACCGTATCAATGAATTTATACTGTTACAAAAAAAAAATTACTTATCTGATAATAATATTTTTAATACTCAATTTTGCTAAGCTTAAACTTTTAATTTGTCCAGTTTGATTAAGCTTAAACATGGTGATTTGATAATTGTTTGCCAAAATTAAACTAAAAATGAATTAAATAAATTGCCATTATTAAAAGATAAAAGACGATGCATACCTGTATTCGATCAAGTGTGCCATTAAGTCGTAATTTCTCAATAATAGCCTGTTTGAAATCAGAATCCATTCATTCAAACAGCATATTCAACCATATTTCCATGGTGACAGATGTTGGATTAGCTTGTCACATATACTACACATATCAATAATAATGCGCTCAATTATTTATACCTTTGAAAATTTTTCTTCTAGTCGAAATGAATTATCAAACCATTGTTAGATGTTAAAAAATACAGAAATGTCATTATTGAACATTGCTAGAATGAGATTTAGGCTTAGAAATTCATTTTTCAGCAAATTAGACAAATTCCTTCTAAACCATCAAAAAATCTTCTTATTTCATGTACTATTTGTTGCAAAAAATACTTCATAATTTACATAAATGGATTAGATTCGTGATGTTATATTACTTTCATAGCTATTTCGATACGGTTAATTTTAGTATCGAATATAATTAATTTTAGGATCGTATACAGTTGATTTTAAGATCGGATACGGTTAATTTAGGATCAGATACGGCTAATTTTAGGAACGGATTTAAAATCGGATACTGTTAGGATCGGATACGGTTAATTTTAAGACCTGTTAATGCATCGAAATTTTTACAGTCAATAAAATAATCCCAGAGAAACAGTTTATTGTATGAGACGAATGCTTTATCAGTTTTGTATTTGATCATATCAAATACGATTATATTTGACATGTAAACGGATCATTGCTAGGAACTATGTAGTACTGAATGATCGGATACTGCGGATAGCCTCACTGATATCAAAAGAATAACAACAATCTTCACGAATGAAATGTCGGATTCACAACTTTCCTGATATAAACAAGTCGGCAGAGAACAAACATTTATTAAATGAGAAAAAAAATTGAAATAATCAAATGTAATTTAAGAATAAATTTACATAGTAATTATTCAAATTATTCAGATTGACAATGAATATGGCGGTAATGTTAGATAATGGTACTAAAAAGCTAATGCTATTAAAAGAATTTACTGAGGGAAAAGATTCATTCAAATTATATCTTTTATTATATTTGATTATTTACTACTTAAATCTACTTTTATTTCAATTAATTAACCAGGTACATTTCAAAAATAAACCTGACCAATTAATTATCATGTAATATATTCCATTAAGATGCAATATAGCATTAATGTGATGTTATCAATTCAATTAAGCACCTTACATAATTCATAATTTGACATTTTAGGTGTTTATGTTCATGGCCCGTATAAATCACATGAAAATAAACATGTTTCATATGTCTCACATGAAAGCAAATATGTAAAGGTCAAATTATATAAGGATGTGTAATTGAACTTTTTATGTGAGAATGAAGACAAACATCTAAAGGTCAAATTATATAAGGATGCCTAATTGAACACACAATTGATTTATCTTAACGAAAAAGTCATAATTTGCAATCGAAGAGAAGTAAGAGAGCATGGAAACGGTGAAAACGAAAAATTAATAGAAATAAATTAATCCGCTGTAACAATTTGTTTTCGTTAATTCTTCGGTAATTGTGATTTTTACAATTATGCCTTAAATTCTAATAGTGATATAATTATGCAAATTAATTTGAAAACCAAATAAAGTTGTTTGATGGATGATGATTTGGATAATTTAAAAGCAGTTGATGATCCTGTATATTACCAATTATAATTAACTTAACACGGTAATGTCCAGTTGTTCTCAGTATTACTGACAATGTTTGACTGTTCCCGGTATGAACTGATCAGTTTAAGTATATCATCTCATCATGTACTCTTTTTCAGTAATAAATGACACACTGTAACTACAAATGTTTCTAAGATTGATTTAGAAATGAATATATACAGGCTATATCTCCTTATCTGACTACAAAATATTTTAATTATTACCTTGTCGATCATTATTTCCCTTTATCTTACCACTATAGTTCGTGATATTTGACATTTGGCTGATCCTTTTGTGTAAAAATAAACAAATAAATGTTGGTATTAAGTAGTTTTTTTTTCTAACTAAAGTAAATTAGAAAGAAATTTAATCACTGATAAGAAATTGTGATAATAATTATCATCTAAGATCAATAGCAATAGCGCCATCATTTGTCTTCTCTTTCATTTCAGAAGCTTTTATCCTTTGTAACATTAATTTTTGCCCATATCGAGCGATTACCATATAAAATATCAATGAACCGCTAATAAAACCAAAAGTAAACAAGAGTAATGTCCAATTAGGCTTAATTATTATCAAAGCACTAATCTGAAATTATTGAAAATGTAAAAATTGCATTCAATCAAAATTGACATTTTTATAGAAACCAGAAAAAATGAAATAAATTTCAATAATTAATGAAATTTATGAAATTATTTGCTCACCAAAGCAATCGTTTGTAATATGTAAATGAATGATGCAAGTGTAAGTCGATGAAGGTATGATGCAAGAAAACTACCAATTGGTGCAAAAATTACAACAACAGGTATGCATACCGAGAAATATTCCCATGATTCCTGAAATATTCCCATAACCTTCATGAATTTCTATCACACACACACACACACACACACACACACACAC